TCTGTTATCAACGTTTACATTTATAAGATTATATGTGTTATGTTAGACGTACTTTTTCAACGTTCACTTCGAAGAGTGCAAATCAGTCATACTGTAGACAATACTACTCAATATCAGAATGTTTTCGGATCAGTGTTGTATATTTTTGAAAAAAAACTAAAAAACACTGAGCCGTTTACTGAGGCTTGGGTCGAGTACGTTCCCATTTTGTATACTGAATTTGAACCTGCTAAACCCGCATACCTTGCCCTGCTTTTCATTCGCTGATTTTTATGAAGTTTGTAGAAACATATTTAAAATGTTTTTTCTTTCCGTTAAACCCTGTAATTATTACATTAACTTTAATTTTTTTTTTTTTAGTTTGAATATACAATACTTCCGAGTACATACAAAAAACATTGGTAGGGTTTCGTTTCATTAACCATTTTTTGGCCCGTTAACATAAAAAAATATGATTAAGGCCCACAACAATGGCATCGATAAACACGGAGTTTAAATTAGTTTTATTTTATAGCCCCGAACTTTCCCAAACACTTGAAGCACAAGCTGAAACCAGTACTTGTGTTCCATAAAAGAATATATTGACATTCAGGTACAAAGCAACCCTTTACTCTTCACTCTCTACGTAACGCCCAAAGGGTTTAATTAGAAATGAATGATTTAACAAGTTTAATTACATAGCATCTCACTGAATATACACAATAAACAAAATTAAAACGCGTTTTGGGCAGATACATCTAAACCGACATTAATAAAGTTGAAAATTAAATCTTTCTTTACACCTTTTGACTTCTCACGATGATTTAAAGTTCGAAAAGTTTTAAAATATTGCACCCTAAATTTTCGAATAAGAATCCACCTTAAACTCTCTTGAACTTCTCAGACAAAGGGTATGCGAAATCAAGATATAACTACACTGTAAAATATAACTTGAGCAAAATACGTTAAAAGAAGGTGTGGGACAATTGGATGAATCGGAGTCACTCAAAGGGGGGGGGGGGGGGGGACTGGGCAGCGTTAAAATCAACCACCACCACTTCACCTCTAGGTGATGTGCCCTAATTAAAACATTTTCTTAGACCTTAATCCGAGTGGATAGCAATATGCAGTTGGTGAATCGCAATCCAGTAGAGCGGGGAAAGCTAAGTACAACATACTATATATGTGACAAATGGGTGATTGGCTTAGAAAAAAGCATATACTCATGGTTGCTGGGATCAGAGAATGGTGAGCTTTTTTGTAACCCGCAACTCTAACTACACACAATTTGACATCTACACAATTTGTTTTCTTGCTATTTAAACGAACTTTTTTCGATTTATCGACGGTGTGTATGTGTGGCCTAGAAGACAAAACAAAATGATGATATTGGTTAGCATGTGTATTGCAAAATAAAAGTACTTCATTAAAACCTAACATATACATCTAAGTCTAGCAATATACAAATATTAATAAAATTAATTATTGAGCTGGCAATAAAAATAAAATTTTGATAAGCCAATATACCCTTATAATTATCCAAGATATAAGTGATGGATGTCATTTTAAAATTACCTTAATTAAAAATAAGAAATTTCGATAAAACAATATTAAAGAAATATAAGAAAGTATTGAGTTAGATTTGAAAAACTATGAAAATTTGACAATAAATAATAAAGATGCAAATTCAAGAAATAGCAATTTGTGCATTAAGAGAGAAAAGTGACACTTTGTCGTTTGAGGCAGAAGGTTGCCCGTGCGACGTGTAGTGGAGCGCGGCAATTTGTTGAAAGTGACAACGAACTTTTCGCTCAAAATGCACACAATATTTTTCCTACGATCTCATTATTTTAAGAAATAGATATAAAAAATGAAAACATCAAATGCATTTAATATATGGAACACAAAATTGTCTTAAAAACAAGAACTATCAAATAATGTAATTGCAACTAGCCTATTTTATAAGTGTAAAATTGCGTATCGTGTATAATATACTAGATCGTTACAGTAAAAATCGGAAAAAAAAGAAAAAAAGGATTGTGTTATACAATTATCACGTTTTTCATTATTTATAGAATGCAGCATTTTAGTTAGCACAAAAAAAATTGATTAAACTAATTAAATAAATTTATTATTAACTGCAATTTTATTATTTTTCCATTTCCACTCGTTTTATCGTAAGAACTAGAGCCAATTAGTCAAAACGTGTATCACAATCAAAATGAGTAAAACGAACTGAAACGGCTCTTAAACCTCCGACTGCAAAATCACTGTTATACAGTGCACTATTTTATATCCATTTTATGTAGTAAGAACACTGTAAAAGTTAATTTAATTACGAGTACTAAAAAAATTTTTCAAATCTGGTGGTGGATGGAAGGTGAGAGCATCTGCCTTCAACGCGAGAAACCCAAGTTCGAGCCTCAATTGGGGACTTTTAATTAAATCTTTTGTTTTTCATTTATTTTATTTTACAAAATACTAAAAGTCATAAATTGTTTTTAAATTAGTTATTTTGTCTTGATAACCTAAAATAATTTTTTTAATTTATACATTTTCGTTATTGGGTCGTAGAAAAAAAATCTGTGGCATTTAGGAGACATATTTTAACTTTAAAAACGGATTTTTATTAATTCCATCAATGTAGATATTTTTTATGAATTTTCATTTGATCTAAATATATCCTGTACTGCTAGTAAATCTGTTATGGTTTGATAGAATATCGATATGGTTATTTTATTAAATTTTGTTTACTAAAATCTTATTAAAATATTATATCATATAAATATTATGTGTTTGGAGTTATCATATGTATCCCAAAAGCCACAGAAATTTATTGCACAACTCGAGTGGATTATCCACATCGCACTTAGACAATTTGCCTTCGTGCGATATGGCCATCATATCCACTTCTGTTGCACAAACTACTATTTCTTTACAAATAATACAATAGTGATTAAAGAAACAAAATAACAGTTAAATGATCATGCAAGCCAATGAAATACCAAAAATAATTCAACTAGTTATATTTAATTAAATAATAAATGTTCAATTGATTTACCTATCATATATAAAATATTTCTTTTTTACATGTAACTCCTTGCAACATGATGAAGGATAACCTATGACATCGTTATTCCAACTCGCTGGCAGTACGACATCGCTGTATTTGTGGTTGTACTTAATGCTTCCGAACTTTTAAAAAGTTATTACTTATAAGCCAGATTTCTGAAATAAAATGTTTAATTTTTTCTCTTTTTGGTCTAAATGTAACTTTTAGGTTCGCTAATAAAAACTGGTTTTTTAAAAAAATATTAAAAACTTTACAAAAAGCGGAACTTTATTTTAGGTCTTAATAATACAAAATTTAAAATGTAAAAGCTAGAAAATGCCGGCAACGAACTAGTTTTGTTGCCGCTAGATCTTGGTTGGGCCTTATCTTGGACTTGCCTGTGATTGTTTTATCATAACTTGTAGGATTATTACCCAATGAATTACATAAAAAACACTCCATAATCATACTTTATTTTATACAAGTCACTCGCTGACAGCTGACATAAAGCGATATTGGTAGCCTCATCAAAGAACCTGTAGAATAGTTATGTACATTTCAGTGGCATGAAATAGAGGTTCATATTTCGTAAATTTGTAAATTATTTATTTTTATTATTTTACAGTACTTAACAATTTTGTATGTCACATATTTTAGAGTATTTTATACTTTATTAAAAATGTAAAGAATTAAAATTTATAAATATGGTAATCTAAAGTGCCTTTAGAAACCTCGCACGGCTCGTCTGAACCCTATTCTAATGTACGTAGTCAGACGTGCCATGGTCTAGGACAAATCGCCGTCGCCGATTCGCCGATTCGCCGTAGGGCTGACTCGCCGTCAGCCTATTCGCCGTCGCCGATTCGCCGTCAGGAAATTTAACATTTCATAGGTTTTTATATTTATAGAATATAATATTTATTTTTTGTTTTAGAAATCAAGGCATGCAATAAGCTTTTAAAATGCAATTTAAATTTAACCATAATCGACATTTATTTTTTCTACACTTGCATGGCTATTACCTTGTCTTCGCAGATTACAAAACAAAAAAGTATTCAATGGCCTTCAATGGAACGAATATATTTCATATCCATTCTAGGTAGTGAGAACACTGCAAAAAAATAAAATCCGCCAATCACCGTTCATATTTTGATCAACCGACTGCTATTATTTTTAAAATTTTAAATAAGTGACAATTCTGTCAAACTAATTGCCAGTATATTTTGTAGTCATTGAGATTAAACATACATTAAAATGGGTTATTCTTGTGTAGAATCAATAAATAATGACATTTCTTTTTTTTATTTCGTCTATAATTATAATTCATTTGCTAATTTAAATAAAACTATATGCAAATAATTTAATTACCAGTATTAAAGCAACAAAAATAAAAGAGTAGGTGGTCTTGAGATTAGCGTTCTTGCCTTCCACGCAGAGGATTGGAGCTCGATTCTCGGATGGGGAAAAATTAAATTAACTTTTTTTTTTTTCGTTTATTTTGTTTTAAAAATTATTAATAGTCATAAATTATTTTAAAACAAGTTATTTTGTTTTAATAACCTAATAAGTTGTTTTTCTTATTTGTAAATTTTCGTTAGTGGGTAGTACAAAAAATATACTGTACAACTCGAGTGGTTTGTCCACATTACACTCAGACGATTGAGCACTCCGCCTACGGCTACGGCTACGCCTACGGCGTCGTATAAACTTGGAAAAACAATGGTGGTGTAATCGAAAATGTACAATCGGCATACCAAGTTGCAGAGGTTTGCAAATGTTGCAGCCAACTTTGTCTCCCAAAAATCAAAATTCTACTGGGTCCATGTGAATAATCGGATAGTAAAAATTTTTCTACTACACCAGGTTGGACATGATATAGTCCATAGGAATCTGGTAAAACTAAGTTATCTAGAGTTGTAGGATTTGCGGGTGCTGCGTTAACTTCATTCCTTTTTCGTCGAACTACCTTTCATAAAGCACAGTTGTTTGGTAATTTGGCCTGGCAAGCTTGTAAAACATTACTGACACATTCGTTGATAACCTGAAACAAAAAAGAACAAATCTTTTTCAAACGAGTTTTATAGCAAATAAAAGTTTTTAAATGTGTTAGTTTTAGTAAAAATAAACAAACAGCATATTACAGCAAATACTGACTAATTCTAAAATACCAAATGAATAAAAATTACCTGAACTGTACTCTCTGTGATTTCTTCAACACGTTTCTTTATTTTTGTAACTAATTCAGCTACTTCTTCGGAGACTGCTGAAAAGTCGTGTGTGTGCACATTGACCTCTTTAATAATTGAATTATTTTTCGTGTGAATTCTTGCTTTACACCGACCTCTTCGTTCACATCTCCAAAATTTAACGTTTTCGTCACTTTTGCATACACCGTCAAATACGTAAAGATATCCATTTGCCGAAAACTTATCTTTTCCCCTTTCAGTTAAAATTGTCAACTCCATTATAAAAACTTTTTGTAACGATCAGAATAATTTTGATGATACTAAAGGTTCTGGATTTGGTATCAATATTTATATTACTCTAATATAGTTATTTCGAAAAATTAAATAATTCGTAACATTAATGGGTACTTAAATACAAGTAAAAGCTAGGTAGTTAAACAGTTTATTAGTTACTGTTAAACTCTAATACCAAGAAAAATTAAACAAATCGTAACATTAATATGTACTTGAATAAAAGTGAATAGTAGTTATAACGTTTAAGGTTTCTGTTAAAATTCTTAATATTAATATCTACCTCTATGCTCATTACCTAAATCAATATGGATTCTAATGAAATTTTAACTGTATCTATTTTAAAAGAAAGAGTCCTACGGCGAATCGGCGACGGCGAATTTTCCCACTCCCGACGCGCCGTTCAAGGTTTCTAAACGCACTCCAGCATACCACTCATCGTAAAAATTACATATTCAAATCGTCGGACTGCTATAAATTTGTCCCGCTATAAATTTGTCGGTCACTATGACTGATTGGGTTAGGGAGTATTTATTAAGTATTCCTGCGAAAATTAATTATGTGGCAATAAGAAAACATAACCTCGTTATTTTGACATGTTGTAGCCGGTGGACTCATTGATTGCAGGATTAATTCTGTCGGCCAAGCCTTCTTTTCTGTTTATTATTAAATTATCTTTTAGTTGCACTGCAAAAGAAGTATAGGGTCAATGTATTACATAACATCGTGAAATCGACGTGTTCGTGCGCTGTAGAAAACGCAGCATTTCCGTTAATTTTCGCAGGAGGAAAAATATGGAAAACTTGTAAAAATGAAGCTACTAACGAAGTTTTAAATATGTGGTAATCAGCAAAGCAAGGGTGGACGTACTGTGGACTATTATGTTCCACCTAATTAAAATTAAGCGAGCAACAAAGCTGTCAATTTTGTCGCGCAGCGAGCCATGCAGCTGTTACTTAGTGTGTCAGTTCGCGGAAAACGTCAACTTTATGGTTGGATTTCAAAGCGGAAACACCTACGTTAAAAAGTGATCGTAAAAAATGTAATTATCCAACGATTGTGGTTTGGCGCTCAGCGCTCTAGAACGCTAATAATGTCAAATTATAAAAACGTCATTTTTCAATTAGTTTTAAATGTGCAAAAGCCTACTTTAGATAGTGATCGTAGAAAAAATATTTATGCCAACAAATTTTATTAAATAAACACCCTTTCCAAAGATATAAAATTTTCTTATAGTGTTAAGGTTTGTAGTTAAGACAAATCGACTTTTTTTTCCTCATATCATCTTTTAAAAATATGTAAACTTACGGCCTTATAAATTCAACTGCTCTATACCCACGGGCATTATAAATAAATTGTTTACGTATACATATCGGACACAAAAGTCTGAAAAGACTATCACAAGTTTTTGGGGCGTAGCAGGTGTTCGCGCAGATCGCACACCAGAGTTGGAATTCAAAAAACTACTTGGTTTCCATGAATTATTTAGGTTCTCAGACGCGTTCCTCATCGGCATGCATATTTGTTCGTTTAGACTTCAGTTTTTGAGATACGTGAATGAAATACGGCCTGCGTAAATGCTTTTGAATTCTTTATTTATTTCTTTATATTAGCCAGATGCGGGGCGGTTGATCGCTTTAAAATCCATGCGAAATTGAATTTATTTTTCGAGTTGGTATTTTGCAGATAAGAATCAAGTTAAAATAGAGTAGGGATAAAAAAATATTTTATGGATTGTTTTTATTATATCCCAGGAAAGCATACTTCTACAAAAGATAATAGCTCTTTAATGAGAAAATTTTTGTCCTATTTATATAGTTATATGCAATAATTAAATTTTATATCTATCGAAAATACATATAGTGTGGAAACCACTTATGGAATAAAATTATTTGTCATTATTTTAGAAAATTATAAAAAATGCCGAGACATGTCAACTTTTGAATTGAGTTGTGCGTTATGTAAACATAAATTTAAATGTACAGGGTGATTCACGCAAGTATGCCATAGTCGGTGTTGTTTTTTTTAATGAAACACCCGGTATATTTGCATACATACATTATTCAGTTTGTTGGAATCGGTTCATTAAGAGGATTTCAAAAATATGCAAATATACAGGTATATTATATCTCGTTGTTTCAGGTATAGACAAGCGGTTCAAAACCTACCGCGAACGCAGGTTAGAACCAATAGTTCAGTTCTTTTTGTTCCGCAAACGCTTTTTAACTATTGCGCCTACGAAATCGTTACTAAAATAATTCGGTTCAGGATTCTAACCGCGAACAAAGTTACAGATAAACAAGCTAGGACCGACGTTCGGCCCTTGGCAATATCATGAACTGTATTAATAATAAAGTTTAAAAATATCTTGCAGTTTATAGGTCTGGGAGATGTAGATTAAAATATCACCTTTTGATTGAGCACTTTATTTTAATCACTAATATAATGATTTGATATATCACTATATGGTGTACTTAAAACTGAAGACGTTTTACATTATGTACAGTATTTCTCTAAAAGATTTGTTACTTAGGCCAAATTAATGTCTAAAAGTTATGTTACATGATGGCGGACAGAGCGTCGCCTTTTTACCACCGCAAAACGATGTGATGTGTTCTCTTTGAAATGTACTGAGGCTCTTATTCTGCGCCAAGCGAGCTGATCAATAAGAAGTGCATACCGCCTGTGGCGCTAACCAGTGAAAGTAGACGACGTCTATGGCGGTAACCAATGAAAAGCAGACAAGAAGTAAATGATGCTTGTGACGTAGTTATTTGTTGGGAGACCTTCCTTATCGGCCAAGATAGTGCCGATTATAGAGAAGTCTCTAGGAGTAGTAAAAAATCGGGAATGAAAGCTTAGCGTATGTTAATGAAAATTTTTTTATTCGAGCCTTCTTAAAATATTGTCTATTAAGTAATACAGTGAGTGGTCAGTGGTCCTTTGTCATACGTATGATTATAAGTTGCACGCAGTTTTGTTTGAAACTGATTTTTTAGGTTCTCCATACTCCCAATAAGGAATAATTATAATGCTATAGAAAGAAACTCGACAAAAATTAACTAACTGAAAATAAACTTTGTACACGGAAGTAGTTTTTTTGCTGAAAAGATAATGAAAGAATGAATTTAAAATAGAAGGATTTGCTAAGAAAAATACCATAAAAATTGAAAAAAATATATAGGTATACATATTTGGAATCCATGTTTCATGAAGAAGGTGGAAATGTTAAAAAAATAAAATAAAGAATAAAGAAGGAAACGATGTGTGCGGAAAAGAAGGTTTACGATTTTATTGAAATAAAAAAAATGTTTCTATAAACGCCAAAATAAGAGTATATAAGACTATATTAGATTTTATTAGACCGACAGTAACCACTTTCTTGTGAGACATGGGTATTCTAATCAAAGATATATTAAATATACTGCAGATATAGAGAAGAAAGATATTAAGATAGATTTTAAGATAAATAAATAAATTGAGTTTTAAGAGAAGGTGTAATAAAGAACTATATGAGTATATCTCATGATAAACAAAATAGTAAAAGCTCAAAAAATAAAGTGGCCGGGATATATCGGGATAATGGATGAGAAAATAATAGTTAAAAAGATATAGAACAAAAATTTGCTAAATAATAGAGGAAGATTTGCTAAATAATAGAGGAAGAGGAAGACCAAGATAAAAACAATTATGTTTTAATTATGTTGTGTTGGGTATAGGGTATTATTGCGACCTAAAATATCTATTGTGTCCCCTTCTATTGCTAATACATCAAGAAAATAGTCGAGATGCTTATAACTACTCTATTTATCCTGTCTTCTTAAGGAAGTTTAGGATTTAGAGTGGCTTCAAGTTAGGTAGAACGCCGTCTTCTATTTGGTATGCTCCTTGGTATAGCGCATTTGGATTCTAAAGTGCTACATATCTAGTCGTAATGTAAATGGACTTTCGTGTATTTTCACCTGGAAGATTATTGGGTATTTACCCAAACTTTAAGAGTATCTGGTTCTAGGCTAACACGCTACTATTTCACTTCCTCCTATGGTTTTGTAACCATCCGTATACCACTAAATAGAATTTCTTTCGGTTTAAAGCACGATGGAATCTTGGCTCTATCATCTCTTGCAGCTCAGATCTGTGGTTTTAAAGTTTTTTAAAAAAAATTTCTTCTTTTTTTTCTCGTCCTGGGGCATATCCCAAGTGTATTTGGTTCTCAAGCTAATATACTTTTGTCTTATTACTTCGTTCCTAATCATTCTACATCTTTTCCTTTTTCCCACGTTCTTTTTCATTAGATATAGAGGGGTTAGGTTCATATTTCATCGGTAATGATGATATTCGAATAAAGAAACTAGAGAATAATTGCTAAGGATAGTGGAAAATAGAAAATATACAGTTCTGTTGTGCTCTTATTAATATAGAAAGCGATGTAACAACGTTACTTTTTTGCTGGGCTGTTGGAAAAGAACAACAGGCTTACTGTATAATGTAAAACTGTCAGACTCTCTTAGTCATCCTTACTTAATAAAGAAAGTAAACGGCATATAACGTTGCTGAACATCGTCAATAATTAAACCTCGTATATAGTTAGAAAAGGTTGGTGTTAAATAATAAATAAGGAAAAAAGTACATACACAGCTGTTTTTGTGAAATACATCCAACGGTCCCCTTTAAAACAATAAACTATTGCTTTAATCGATTTTTCAAATTGATTTCAGCGGATTTTTAATCGTTCCAGAACATTTGGTTCACCCAGTGAAAAATTTTGTTTTCCCATATTTGGTGGTTTTACTTTCAATGAAAACGTTCCCTTTAAATAAAAAAGCACACAAACTGGACTTTCGTATTTTATTCGAAACCCTCCCGTATACATTTTCAATCGACATTTAAAAAGATTTAATGTTTTAATGCCCCAATTTTTATGAATGAAAGAAAATCCCGTTAAAGAAGATATATAGCAGATTATTAGCGAATGAGTAGAGTATAAT